TGATTAGACATTATCTTTCTTCAATAAAACCACGAAATTAGCAATATATGTACCGGTTTGGACCACTTTACATAAAGGCACAAACACCGTCACGTATCAGAATATACTGTGTACGTATTCAATTCGAGACCAACATTACGTCACTGCAGACTTTAATTTGACGTTTTAAGTCATCACGTGACATCGACGGAAGCAACGAAGAAAATATTCACTCTAGGTTCTAGCGTCGATCGGCGTTCCACAGTTCGACAATGAATACAGATCGCTCGCTACATTTGATCTTTAGAACTGAAAGACATATGTGTTTTCCATAACAATTATCGAATTGAGAGTGCTCCACTCGTCACGGTCGAGAAAGGTACAGGCGAGAACTTGCACGATTAATCAATTTATAACACACTATAACACACACATTACTAATTGCTAGTTGTTAAAGCATATCTGTAACAGTCTTTATTTTATTCACTTTTCCAATAAATAAAAAAATGTGTTTGGGTCAACAGGCAAAATAATAAATTCAGGGTGCAATTCGACCTAACCGATTAGAAGAATGTCGACCCATAATTTGAGCATCAGACTAATACCTTTGAAGGAAATTACAACATTTTTTTTTAGTCGAAATGTGCATTGCTGTTTCTATCCACCTTACAAATGGTTCCCATTCAGATGCGTACACAAAATAATTCAGAAAATAAAAAAGATTCATCGAAAATCGAAAGGTGTCTTAGTTGCCACGTTTGACGTTTACAACATGTAATAAACTAGGGTGTATCTTGAGCCACGTTATATACGGCCAGTCGTAAGACGAATCCAAGGCGCCATGTGTCGCGTCTTTAAAGCCAACGAGATCAACATTTGACACCAACATAAGTTAAATCTGGTTTGCCACTAAACATAGCAGAGTCGTTCGATGAAAACGCTAGTGCGCATGCGCTCTCGATTATCTGTACGTGCTAACTCTCACGATATTATGTATGTACGTATAGAAAACCCAGGCGCATGCGCATTTGCGTTTTATAATATTTAATGGAACGAATACTGTTATGTCTATTTCAAAAAACAACGATTGCTAGGCTCCTGTTCTCTGATTTTGTCACGACTCAATTTTCCGCTTCATATAACATTTCTGGAATTTTTTTTTTGAAATTTTACCATTTACTTTTTACGCGTATGTACACCAAACTAAATACATATTATGTTTTGTTTGTCAGTTTATTTGGGCACTTTTCTATTTCTGAATTATTACAAATAGGAATAAGCGATATATGGCGATTGGTATTGTTGACATATTAGCTTAATTGATTGTAATGCCGAACTAGACATACTTGGGATCATGTCAATTTCGGAATGGTGAAAGTTGCAGTAACTATTCGTCTTAAATGAAAACAGCCGTTAATATACTAGTAGGTAATACAACAATTGTCATTTCATGCAGGGGGTGGTATCGGACTACTTTAGGTGTGGCGTCTAAACGCGGCAGTTACGGCCTTCCGGTTGTATTTGAAATCGGCAGAAATATTTTCTGTGTTTGTTTGTTTTTTAAATAATCTTTCAGTCATCATTATTATGAATTATGTCATTGCATTATGCAAATAATATGAGGTTATTACGAGGATACCGAACAGTATGCATGAAGACAGTACAGCGGAAGTATCGACGTATTCTCCTTAAAACTTCATATTACTAGTATACCAAGATGAAATTCTCCTATCGAAGCGATGAAACTTTGTACAATTTGAGATTCCCGTGTACTGTCGAACACATAGACTAATGATGTTTATCGTGCATATAGCAACATTTATAGTGAAAAAATATTAGTCAGTGTCATTTCACGCTGAACGTCACTACCATGGTCATATTATAAACAAACTCAAAAATGCTCAAAGTTATTCATAATTTCTTTTGGATGGAAGTGTATCCATGAATGGATATGATAACCAAGAATTGATTTTTACGGATGTGTTGTGGAATACAACGTCTAGATCGTTCGAAACTAGAAACAAAATACCCACCACCCCCCACCCCCCACCCACACACCCACAGTCGTGTTTAAACACAGCAAACAGTCAGATCGTTTTGGTCAGGCTAGATTTTTAGTCTCAGACAAAGATTGCTGATGAAAAAAAAATATTGTTGTATTGTAAAAGATTGCAAATTACCAGGTACTAGCACTTGTTATTGCTGATCGGAGCCATATACCAGTATGTGATAGTTTGAATTAGCGGAATTTTGTTGTACTTGTGTATCCGAGTATAAGTGCTACATTGGCGGAAAGTTTGAGTTCAAATCGACAATATGTGGAAAAGAGAAGTGTATCTGGGGGTTTTAAATTGTTGCGTATATTTCCGAGTCCTCACGTGGTTGATGCGATAGTAGTGGCTTTCTTCCCATTTGATACATTGGTTGCCTGGGGCACGTTTGTTATTGAATATGGTGAGATCAGTGAACTTGAACCTGACTTTTTGTCAGATAACGAGTCATATCAGTGACTTTGACACAGGCTGACAGATTACAGGTTATCATACTGGACAGTGATACTGATATACTGGCGACATTTTCCGAATATTGTCGTGGCAGTGGGTTGAGTGACTATCAACGGCCGGTGAAAGTGACAATTGGTATGTGGGAGTGTATACTGCGCATGTAGTACCCGTTTACGAAAAAAAAAAAAAACGACATGGACGCAGACAATCAATTGCTGCTTGAGATGCAATAGCTGAGAAATAAGTTATTCTCAGCTAGCCGAATACAAATGTCAGCCGTAGCTACGTCGGAAGTGGTAATGTGATTGTCTTAGGGGAACTCACGGGGCGTTGGATTTTGTACAGTTCATGGGAAAGCTTATTTAACAAAATCCTGAAATCGATTTTAGAAGTTCTACATATAATCTTAGTACGGAGTGGACATGCAATATAATATAATATTAAACACACAGTTCTCTGGACTCTCGTGTTGTTGGTGACTGCGAAATTGCGAAGTTCGCGTGAAATTTTCCCGATTTCAAGTGAAATTTCAAGTGAAAAATACAATAACCCGGCATCGACTGGAACCAGTCTACTTGTCAAGACTTGTGCACACGGTCATTTCGATTTTTGAAAATTTGGAGATATGGGATTAAATGGGAAGGCAGTGCGTATGAAGGTATACGACGTGGTAACTACACTACCGTGTTGTGCGCCACGCCATTCTACGGGCATCGAATGAGTTTGCCGTTGGTGGCGTATGCTTGGAGAATACTAGTAACTTTGAAGATGGACAATGCATGTTTGTGCAAAATAACACACACGCGCACGATATATATCGAGGAGAATACAGTCTAAACAGGCTATAATAATATCCAGAACTTCTATTTACTGTACAGCCCATGCTATTAGATAACAGCGTTTGCATAATAATCAATATTATACTTGTGTCTGTTAACAACAGTACCGTACTTATTCGCTGTTAATATGCTGCACCATTACTTCCGACTTTTACCATCCTAGTACAGCCAGATCTGAAGGCATGTGCCGCAATATCTGTCTGGGATGTGTGGCTCGGATCGGTGTGGACAGGTTTCACACGTTCAGCACGTAATAAGCGCCTTTTGGGGGGATGTCCGGTGGCGGAGGATAAAATGTGCTGTGACGTGAAGCATGTGGGCGTCGTTTCCCGCACACACGTAATACTAGTATACATTTTCTTTGATTTGACATTGTATTTACCTTGTCGTTTATTTGGTGTTACTTACGCATATCTGTTTTAGGGTCTATACTTACAGTGTATACAAGTGACAGTCTTTGCGCACATAACGACAGATAGAGGGCGTACTCATTTCTTCGCACTTGTGGTGCAGGATTGATTGTGAAGGTTTGAACCTCCACGGTGACACGAAGTAAGTACTGGTATATTGATTTCAAGGAATAGTGTACAATATTAAGAATATTTGAGATACATCAAAATACACACTGTCAAACTAAAACACTGTTTCTATAACTGTGATTTACATTATTAATTCATGCAATCCGCATCATGTAACCAACATTATGAAACATCGTAAACATCTAAATCAAAGTCGACCTAAGTTGCATGCATATGTAACTTTTCAGTTGGAACCTATGTCTACGTAGGCCCTGGTATTTCTAACTCGCTAGACGTCAATTTGAAGCTATAAGTTACGTTTCATGAGGTCGCAGATTCGTAAAAATCATAGTGTTTCACCTCTATCTTGTTATTTTACTTTTGAAATACCACGGCAAGTAGCGGTAAAAAGAGACAGTAATTGTATCAATTGTTGGTAACTATGTACAGCGTAGTCTCTCGCGTAGCCACCAACATAAAAACAAAAGTACATAATTCGTTTTTTGGAGGGCGCAAATCGCATCATATGGGCAAATCAAAAATGGCGCTGCTTCTTATATTTTGACGGAAAGAAAACAAAAAAAAGGATTCACGTTCAATTGTCATCAATAACAGAACTGAATTCCCCAGAGGTACAATCTGATGTAATGGTCAATGATCGGAAAACTGTATAAACGCGTATATGTACACGTGAAGTAACACAGGACGTGAATGTAAGTGTAAGGTTTTATGCCTCTCCTGTCGACAACACCGGACACTTAGACTACTTATTCTTTCTTTTATGAGAGGCGCTGATCGCTGTGTGAAATATGTCGATCGGAAGTGCAATTTGTGTATACCATGACGTTCAGATTGTTAGGGTTGAGCGAAATTAACCAGCGTGTTGAAATAGATCGTAGATAATTATTTTAATAATTTTGTGGGTGAATGAATGAATGAAAAGGCAATACTGTGTTGTGTTTGAACCTCGATAGAGTTCAACCTTAGAGATAAGTCCATACGAATAACGCCGTATTCGACTTTGACCCTTTGATTGTAAACAATCACGTACCGTGGTGCACAACAGGTTATTTCAAGAATGTAATTTTGGAGGCGTTACCCGGTATAAAACAGCAACAACACGACTTTCCTTCCAACTGTTTCACTTCCTTATTCAAATCATGACAGCCAACCACGATTCCAGTAACGGTACACATCCCTTCAGAATGAAGAGGCTGGAGGAAACAGAGGTGGAAGAAGGTGTTCGATACCGCCCGGCACCGCAGAGTCCACCTGACTCCGTCAGCAATGAGACCACAGAATCTGCAGAGACTACTGGATTCTTTGCCAGAGGAAGGGACTATGAGAGTGCATACATTAATCACCATTATTCGAAAGCTGAGCGAGAGTTGTTGGGCACCTATGAAAGTTTGGATTATTTACCGCCCCATAGTCAGGCTTATAAAAATTGGCTGAGAAAGCAGCCAGCAAGGTGAGTACACTACATTACTTTAATGGTCATACTGTGAATATATAGTTAAAACTAACTGCGTTCATAGTTTGTTATTTTGTTTTTGTTTATTTACTGTAAAACGTGTTATTTTAGCTGATCTAATTTTGTGAATTCAAGATGTCGCTGATTTAGAATAAAATATATTCTCTTAGTTCACACTGTTAAAATTTTAGTTAAATTAGAACAAAGTTCATGCATTGAGTCAAATTCACTTAAATGACATGTAAAATCTGTATTAGAAGCCACATGTTTTATTAAAATGGTACAATGCAACAGAGGGGATGCGGCTTCTATTAGAGCATCTACACATACGAGAAATGGTGATTTTTTGGTTCCCAATTGTTCAAAAAGAAGGAGTGCGACTTCTATTAGGGATGCAGCCTCTAATACAGATATTTATTTATTTATTTATTTATTTATTTATTTATTTATTTATTTATTTATTTATTTATTTATTTATTTATTTATTTATTTATTTATTTATTTATTTATTTATTTATTTGATGGATACAGTTACAGAACAAAACTAAATTATTAGGAAGGTATCAAATTACGTACAAAACCTTTCTTGAGACAATATTTCGTCTGAGCACTGACACTTAATTATTTTACCGTTACCGGTACAACAATATTATTGCTATTGTCTCTGACCTAAAAAGGTTCTCCTAATGGTATCAAAGGTAACACAGATGTCAGTAGTCCTGATAACTCCTGATTTTTCAATTTATAAGTTGAGCTGACATAGAAGACTGTGCAGCAACCAGAGTTTCATGCCTAATAGAGAGATAATGTGTTGTACTGTGATAAGCAATACTTTAATTAAAGTACTTTAATTTTGCTTGAAATTTATTTTCGCTGAAGGAATGAATCAATGAAAATACCCTTTTTCCTATATTTTCCATTTAGCTCATCAATAATAAACTTAATTAAAGCTAGCTAAAATAAAATCTTGGTATTTTTTTGTACACAGCAGGGATCGAAATACTCTGGTGCACACTGCACTATGCACATAGATTATTAGCTAGTGCAAGTAAACTCAAAATTTAATGTGCATACTGTGCGTGTAGAAATTAACACAACAATTTCTCATTATATTCACTAAGCCTAAATTAAGTTCAACCAACATTGTAAGACAACTAAAAAAAAGCAAATTCTTTTGTGATCGCATCAATCGAGACCCCGTCAATTTTATTTAAACTTTAAAAGTGGTGCATTTCACAACAAGTTAGTGCAGGTAAATTTCAAATTCAACATGCACACTGTGCATGCAGGGAAAAAATTCTAAGTTGTCAATGTTGCTTGAAGAAATATTACACATTATTCTCGAGTTTCAGCCAAAAGTGATCTCTTAATTGCACATGGATCTTTGAAATAATACATACCTCGGTAAATCTGAAAGTAAACTAATAATTGGATTCCTTATACATCAGTTTATTGATGTTATCGGTATATCTGAATTATTTCTGTAGGCTAGACTGGGATCGCTGGGTGATGATGGGTATGATTGGGTTCATTGTGGCTATTATTGAATTCCTTATACATCAGTGTATTGATGTTACCAGTATATCTGAATTATTTCTGTAGGCTAGATTGAGATCGCTGGGTGATGATGGGTATGATTGGATTCATTGTGGGTATTATTGGATTCCTTATACATCAGTTTATTGATATTATCGGTATATCTGAATTATTTCTGTAGGCTAGACTGGGATCGCTGGGTGATGATGGGTATGATTGGGTTCATTGTAGGTATTATCGGATTCCTTATACATCAGTGTATTGATGTTATATCTGATTTCAAATGGGATAGAGCAGAAGAATTGATACAGGTGAGATTTCTCCACGTAACTGTCAAATGCATAATATTTACCACCACAGACATATACTGATTAATACTAGATTGACATGACGATGGAGGGAAGTGCACCTAGATATGGTCAGATGCTGTAGTGATGTATGAAGCGACTCATATTTATGTGCTGCTGCAAGTGTTTTTCTTGGAATGCTACATCGACGTGAACAAATAATTATTTTAAATCTTCTTTGTCGTTCGTTTGCATGATGATTTGTAATAAATGCCATAAAAGCAAGTGGATATAATTTCAATAAAGCTTTTATTATTGTCATCGTATGCGTATCCTTTTCCATATTTGGGTCAAATAACAGATCGACGAATGAGGCCTTGATTTCAGCATGAGCCGAGTGGGTCCAGACTAAAGTGAACGCAACTACTGTAATCCCTCTGCAAACACAAAGGATTAAAAATTTCAGCACGTGCCGAGATCCCATAACATGGACATAGCAAATGATATTATAAGAATGCTAAGATCACACAGTGCCAGTCAAATATTCATTAATATAAATGTCGCAAGTTGCCAAGTTGTCTTAAGAAACCGGACTTCTAAAAAAAGTGTTAGTGCACAAGTTTGTTGACCCTAGGTTCAGTAACTTAAAACTTGTATCCAGGATCTGTATAAAAAACTCTATGTGTGATTGACAATTGATGAGTGAATATCGTGTTTTATTTATTAATTTTAGTTTTTTTTAGTTTTTTTTTTCAAATTTCCAGAAAGCATTTCACAGACACTTTAAACATTTTTCATTTTTATATGGACAGCTGTACATTTTTCATACAAGTATAATTTACTGATTGATAAACTAACTAACCTGTCTTAAAGCAAATTCTAATTGTAATATGAAAAATCTACATTATTCTATTCTATTCTATTCTATTCTATTCTATTCTATTCTATTCTATTCTATTCTATTCAATTCTATTCTATTCTATTCTATTCTATTCTATTCTATTCTATTCTATTCATTTCTATTCTATTCTATTCATTTCTATTCTATTTTATTCTATTCTATTCTATTCTATTCTATTCTATTCTATTCTATTCTATTCTATTCTATTCTATTCTAATTTTTATTTGTTCTTAGGATGATGAAATTATGAAAGCTTGGGGATTTGTTCTCATCTACAGTCTGGGATTTGTTCTTCTTGCTTCATTACCTGTAGTGGTGAGTGCTTTGATGTGATTGGTTGTGAATCCACATGCATCCGAACTCCATACAAAATTTTATACGTTCATTTCTGTATTGAATATACAGTATGACATCCAGAAGTATTTGCATCATCTGATGTTACTTGCATTGAATTCTGGGAATGATACATTGCTACACTTGTAATGTAACTATGGTTACCTCTTATTATTACAGTATCTGAGACCCTCTGCAACTGGTTCAGGTATCCCAGAACTCATTGGGTATCTGAACGGAACAATGGTGGGAAAAATATTCAATGTTAAAACATTGGTTGTGAAAATATGGTCTTGTATATGTGCGGTTGGCAGTGGTATGCCGGTTGGACCAGAAGGACCAATGATACACATAGGGTTGGTATACATTGTTGTCTTGTATATGTGCGATTGGCAGCGGTATGCTGGTTGGACCAGAAGGACCAATGATACACATAGGGTTGGTATACATTGTTGTCTTGTATATGTGCGGTTGGCAGCGGTATGCCGGTTGGACCAGAAGGACCAATGATACACATAGGGTTGGTATACATTGTTGTCTTGTATATGTGCGGTTGGCAGTGATATGCCGGTTGGACCAGAAGGACCAATGATACACATAGGGTTGGTATACATTGTTGTCTTGTATATGTGCGGTTGGCAGTGATATGCCGGTTGGACCAGAAGGACCAATGATACACATAGGGTTGGTATACATTGTTGTCTTGTATATGTGCGATTGGCAGCGGTATGCCGGTTGGACCAGAAGGACCAATGATACACATAGGGTTGGTATAAATTGTTGTCTTGTATATGTGCGGTTGACAGCGGTATGCCGGTTGGACCAGAAGGACCAATGATACACAAAGGGTTGGTTCTTGTATACATTAATGGTCTTCAGTTTTCTATACAAAAATTACACTCACTGTGATTGTTTTTGACAAAGTCGACGCAGCGAAGCTGTTCATATTACTGATTGTCCGTCGTCGTCATCGGCGTCAACTTTACAGTTTCAACTTCTTCTTCGAAACCGCAAGTCAGAATGTTTTTAAATTTGATATGTAAGTACCTTGGATGGTTCTTTCCTAGATTTGTTTATTTCATGTAAAAATCTCAAATTCTCTATTTTTGGTGAATATTTTTGTCATTTTTGGTAAAAAGTGATATTTTCAACTTCTTGTTGAAAACAGTCTGATTGCTTTGATACTATACATATTGTTAATTATCTAATGATATCTTCAGTTCTTAATTGAAAGGTGCATTGATAACAGCGGAGCTATCTCAGCCGACAGGCTACTTGTTCTTCCTTTAAGTGACATCAACATCAAGTCTCAGATTTGTGGTGACTTGATACAACTAAGTGTAAAATATGCAAATTTTTATCTGCACTAATAACATTGTATTTACAAAAAAGAATTTGGATGTCAGGTTTAGTACAGTGTGTATTTAGAAAGCAATGATGTCTAAGTGGTTATGAAAATAGAGTACCTATGTGCTCATGTTACATGGTTATTTTCTTGGAAATTCCTGATTCAACCAAAATTTCAACACACCCCTCAAATAAATTGGAATCTTCCAAAAGCACCAACTTTCTGCAGGGTTGCAATTAGCCAATCAAAGTTTACGTACATTCACTTTTGAATGTTTGGTTCCTACCTATAACATTTCATAAACGATTCACCATGATAGTTATCGTGAGTATTATTTTGTGCCCACGGAACCATCATTTCATATATTTCAAAATATCCATTTTACCCTAGAAATCCTGTTACATGTTACCACTGTTAGCTATGTGATTCCAATTTCATTTCTATATTATTATTCATCATTCAGAAAATAAATGTGGCTCTATGATTGGTTGAATTATTGATGAGTTTTGAATTTGAATTTTTTTCCAGGTCTCTAGTCGGTGCTGGTTTGAGTCAATTTAAATCAGATACACTTGGATTTAAACTGCCTTATTTCACAAGATTTAGAAATTCTGAAGATAGGTAAGTTTAGGCGCTCTCATTCAACCTTTCAAAATATTTTTTATTGACTTATTTTCATTCAAATTGCAGTCATAATTAATTTTTCAGTTGCTGTCATTTCAAAACATTCTGTGTTGGCCCTTTTCAGCATTCAGTACCTTCTGCAATGAAAGGACATTTCAGCCACAAAAAAATGTATAATGGTTGAAAGTACACCAAACCTCACACTATTTCATGCATTTCAATATTGATAAGCAAATAAGGAAATGACATGATGGTGATCCACAATTTCTGCATCTATATTTGTATTAGTCTTTGACCTTTGAATAAGTCCAGAAATTTCCGTGTGCTTGAAAGTACACGTCATACAACTTAGTGCCCAGATACTTAGCTCAAAAAATCATCTGTTTCAGGCGAGGTGGATGCTTAGTGAGGCACAACTTTTTTTTTGAGAAAATTACTTGCATGGTCATTGATTTACATAACATTTTTATAATGAAGCAACAGAGATATAGAACAGAAAAATAAGCTCATTTTATTATTATTTACATACTGTGAAATAATTTATTTTCACTGGAATAAATTTTCACTGAAAAGACTTTTTGGGTGTTTTGTATGGAATTTATTTTCACTGATTTTTGGTGAGTTGAATGTAAAATATAGGAAAAAAGGTATATTCGCTGGATTTTATTTTCACTGAATCACTCAATTAATTCCAAGTGAAAATAAAGTATTTTACAGTACCATCAGAATTTACGGTGTAAAAATTATTATATCTCAAAGGTATACCCGCAGTGCAACACATTTCTGCAACAAATTGTTCTACTACATTATTTCATTTATTCAAAATAGAAATATAATTCCGCAGTATTCAAATATTTTCTCTTACTTCAACAAGTCTCTTAATCTGACTTGAGTATGTTAACATTTTTATTTTTCAGACGTAACTTCATATCCGCTGGTGCGGCCGCTGGGGTAGCATCAGCATTTGGTGCTCCTGTTGGCGGATTATTATTTTCGATGGAAGAGGTTTCGTCGTTTTGGAATCTAAAACTATCTTGGATGACTTTTTTCTGCTGCATCATATCGACTTTTACAACTGATCTTTTTGATTCTGCGTTCAGCGGATTTCAATATACTGGTTATTTTGGAATGTTCAGTGCAGAGAAAAATATTATGTTTCAGGTAATCTTCTAGTTTTTTTGTTTTTCTTTCTGTGGTAACATGCATGGTGTAACATCTATAAGTACTTGTCCTCATCCCCTGGCAGCTAACTGTTGATTTCTTTGTTTAATCAACTGAAAGAAAAACCAGGTGCTGGGAATTTCTGAGAATTGTTTAGAAACATTGTTTATTTCTTATTATTTTTTAGAAGGAATAATAACATGCTTTACTGTAACTATTGCTTTATAACTTGTTTTTACTCTTTTTTTTTTGTCAATACTTTCAGGTGAGGAAAGGTCTTGATGTAAACTTGTGGCTGTTTATACCAACTGTCATACTTGGTATCATCGGTGGACTTCTCGGAGCGTTATTCGTCTTCATCAATCTAAAACTAGCGAGATTACGCCGACTGGTGATGAGAAAACTTGCGAAAATATGGAAACAAAACATAGCAAAGTGGATCGAACCATGTATCATTATGGTAAATAGTCTGCTTGAATACCTGTTTATAGAGGGCCATATTTGGTAGTCATACAAACTTTTTAAAATACCGATTATGAAATGTCAACTACTACATGTATATCATATATGAGGGGGAAATGTCGGTCGTCGTCGTTGTTGTTGTTGTTGTTGACTTCATCATCATACACTTTGTGGTTAAAATAACCCAAACAGTTTAATCCAATATTTTATTAACCAGTTTCGATCATGGCCAAGTTCAAATTTGGCATGTGTATGCATCTTTTTTAAGATATTGTTAAAATTTCACTTGAAATTGTCCTCTTTTTGTGGTTACAAAAACTATAAAATGTCAATCGAATTAAATTAAGGTGTATAGCTTATGGGTTATTGGATTATTTGAATACAAACTTATAGTGAAATCAGCATTATATAAATGTTGGGCAATATACATGGTGACTTGTTGCTAAGAGAGCAGAATTTCAGTCTAAACATTGTTTCATTACCCCAAAAAAAAACACCCTGAGTTACTAGTAGCACTGTATTATGTGAGTATACAGTATACAGGGTGAAACCTGTCTAAACTGAACACCTAAAATACTGAGAAATAATATCCCTTCATAGAGGTGTTCAGTGTAGACAGGTTTTACCAGTTGTCATATCACAATTAGTGTCCCCACAGGACCATGGAACAATTACGATGAGTGGTATAACTGGAATGACTATACAAAGAATTTCATCTGTTCTGGTTCACATAGTCCTGCTAGAAGATTGCCAGCTAGAACAGTCCATCGCTGTAAACCCAACATCTTTGCAGCACTTAATTGTTACCGCATGAAAGCTGTGGAAAAAAATATGTTAATGTTTTCAGTATTTTTCAAATGCACCAATCAGCATGTCTCTCTTCATTACAGGGAACCAATCAATCTACTTGTAGAAACAGACAATTCATTTCCCTTGTTGTAAAACAAGCACTGATTGGTCATTTGTTTTCAAATGCACCAATCAGCATGTCTCTTCATTACAGGGAACCAATCAATCTACTTGTAGAAACAGACAATTCATTTCCCTTGTTGTAAAACAAGTACTCATTGGTCATTTGTTTTCAAATGCACCAATCAGCATGTCTCTCTTCATTACAGGGAACCAATCAATCTACTTGTAGAAACAGACAATTCATTTCCCTTGTTGTAAAACAAGCACTGATTGGTCATTTGTTTTCAAGAGGTTTACTCTTACTGTAGAATACTTTATTTTCGCTTGGAATTTATTTTCGCTGAAAGGATGATTCCATGAAAATAAAATCCAGCGAATATACTTTTTTTCCTATAGTTCACATTAAACTCATCAAAAATCAGTGAAAATAAATTCCATACAAAATGCCCAAAAAGCCTTTTCAGCGAAAATTAATTCCAGCGAAAATCAAGTATTCCACAGTATATTCAATTACATGCCTTGTCGCTGTATTTTTCCAGATTGTGTTTGACATGTAGAGAAAAAATACTGTGGTAGACATGAATCACAGTTCCTCTATCATGGAGGAACTGTGCATGAATGCAACAGTCTGTCTCAATTGACCATACACAGATGATGTTACCATGGTAACGTCTGTTGTAAATTTTTCTAACTTCCTACACTGCTTAAAGCAGTCTGAATTTGTTCATTTGTTTTCATTTCAGATAATCTTTGCAACTCTAACTGTGTTTCTGCCAGCTCTTTTTTCATGCAGTCCTTTTACGTGCTATTTACAAGGGGAAAAAGTATCGTAAGTATAATAAATAGTTATTTAAATTAACGAGGTATAGTGGGTTAATTTCGTTGTTGTCATCGTTAACTGTTTCTTGTGATCAGGATAACTTGCCTAATTGTTGTTTACTCCTTTACAAACTATGAAATACTATCAACTAATATATATCACCTTGGGTGCAGATCATTAGTCCCCATTTAGTCTGAATCCAAAAACAAAGACTTCACATTTGCAATCCTACCTATGTATATTTCTGACCTGTCTAGATCTAGCATGTTCAAATGCCACACACATTCATTTTACGATCAAATTCAGGATGATTGAATGGTGACTATTTCAGTACTAAAAATTCATCCACATCAAGCTGCCATAAAATTTTAGTTCCCAAATGAATCCCAAGCAACAATAACAAGACATGCTAAAAATGCTAAGGCTCATGGGTAGACACTTGTTTGTAAACAATGACACGCTATGGCCATCTGACGCATGCGCAGGTGACGACTCCCCCGCTTTAACTAGCAATCTTTTAATATTGTGTTTAATATTGTAACTATGTTGTTACTAACTAATTTTTTTTAAATGTTTCCTCCTTTCTCAGGCCGGATACATATAGTCCTAATTGTCTGACAACACCAACAGAAATTGAGCCTGAACCAACTGTTAGTATTTACAATTGTGAACCTGGTGTCAAGTTTAAAAATGAAACTAGTCAATGGTCTAATGCATCATACAGTGAATGTAAGTAATTCAGTGAAACTTGTTTGACAAATGAATCATACAGTAAATTCAATTGGTTCAGTGAAACTTGTTTGACAAATGAATCATACAGTAAATTCAATTGGTTCAGTGAAACTTGTTTGACAAATGAATCATACAGTAAATTCAATTGGTTCAGTGAAACTTGTTTGACAAATGAATCATACAGTAAATTCAATTGGTTCAGTGAAACTTGTTTGACAAATGAATCATACAGTAAATTCAATTGGTTCAGTGAAACTTGTTTGACAAATGAATCATACAGTAAATTCAATTGGTTCAGTGAAACTTGTTTGACAAATGAATCATACAGTAAATTCAATTGGTTCAGTGAAACTTGTTTGACAAATGAATCATACAGTAAATTCAATTGGTTCAGTGAAAATTGTTTGACAAATGAATCATACAGTAAATTCAATTGGTTCAGTGAAAATTGTTAGTCACCCAATGATATATGCTGTAAATGTTGCAATATAACTTGTTAACTCTCAAATGAAACATACATTGAATGTAAGTTATTCAGTGAAATTTGTCAGTTGACAAATGTTTGGTGCAAAATACTGATGCTGAACCCAAGCCATGGGTTCTCAGATTGTCAAAAATAATATGGTCATTATAATGAAGTTTAAAAAAAAATTACATGACAGAGTAAAAAATTCAACACTTTTATTGTGATACAATAATCCTTGAATACTCACTGAGGCCACAAGTAAGATGAGCCAATCAGTGAGCCAATCAGTGAGCCAATCAGTGAGCCAAATGTGATATGCTAAATACCAACGAGACCTTGTGACATGTGACAACCAATCTGACCTATCAAAAACTAAACAATTGACAAAATAGCCAATATGGTCATTACCAGTGAAATGTTATATTTGTTGTGTGGCATATCGAAACAGACAATATATGTATGGGTGGGTCATTAAAACGCTGAATGTTCAATGAATGTATAGGCCATTGCATTTAGGTGTCCATGCACCATGACTGGTTGGCAAGAACCGATCACTCATACTCAAAGATGTAATAACATCATTGTTCACTGTTGTTGTTGTTTAAATATACATGTATATGTTCCTGGTAATAAAACAATGTATACATCTGTCACTGTAACACCATAAGTTACAGTGTGCTGTAATTTTGCGGTATTTTCATCCTACCTTATTAGGAAATGCGAATTCTAATTGTGGAATGATTACGCCCGTAAGCGTCCTCTAATAATAAAAACAAACATGGCTGCCACCAGGCTTTGACCAACCTCCACACAAAAAAGTTTGCTGATTCTGTTCTAAACTTTTTGGATTTTGGCATTCCCATGATGTATGCTTGGAAAGATAAGATGTAGATTAATAACGATATAATATTTATTTATCATGATGTAATAAAAGTGTTTTCTCATTTCCAGTGGCGACGTTGATGTTTGTAACTGGTGAAGAAGCAATATCTCATTTATTTTCACGTGAAACTCATTTAGAATTTAATTACCCCTCATTATTGACGATGTTGGTTGTCTATTACCCGCTTTCCTGCTGGACGGCCGGTACTGCCATGTCAACGGGATTGGTCGTGCCCATGCTGTAAGTATTGCAAATATTGTAATAGAATATTAGTATAGAATAGAATATGGAATGGAATAGAATAGAATAGAATAGAATTAGAATAGAATAGAATAGAATGATGATGTTGTTATTACCAAGATGTTAATTATTTTGATTGCTGTATTTTAGCCTAATTGGTGCACTGTACGGCCGTATTATTGGTCTTATCATGGTCTCTATATTCGGTGTGCAGACAGAGGAGAATCCATATTGGGCTTGGATGGACCCTGGTGCGCTGGCGTTGATTGGATCTGCGTCATTCTTTGGCGGTGTATCTAGATTAACAATGTCATTATCAGTTATCATGGTAAGTAATGTCAATTGCTTACCCTGATCAACCAGAAAATAGTCTAATTACAAACCAGGAAGCCCATCTTTTACAAGGACTGACATGTGAGAAATAAACGATTCCTTCCATGCTGTCATTTGCGATGAGCATATATGTCGATGGGGGTGGTGGATTGATATTGATTATTGACATAGGCTTTCTTCATATTCAGTTTCGTATTCCAATATTGCTTCCGTGTTTACTTCTATCAGGATCACACCTGAAATATTTTAACACGGAATAATACGTCTGTTACGTATTTAGTTAGCTAATGTCATACTGCCCTCAGTCGGTGAGATGTTCGTCAATCCACCACCCCCATCGATAACAATTCCTTCCATGCTGCCATTTGCGATGAGCATGTATGTGTTTTGAACTGAGGACATAAATAATCGGGACCAACAGATTTAATTGTTCTCACCCAATAGGATGTCACATGTCTAGTACGATTGTGTCTTCATGAATCCAGCTTTATATAATTAGATTCAGCTTTATTACAGCATCAAGTTTTTAATTTGATATTATCTAAAACAACAGAGTAACTACAAAAGCAAAGTACTGTCAAAGCTGTATTAGAAGCTGTGGCTTCTATTAAAATGGTACGATGCAACAGAGGTGATGCGGCTTCAATTAAAGCATCTACACGTATGAGAAATTGTAAATTGTGAATGTTTGATACTCAATTGCTCAAAAAGAATGGGTGCGACTTATATTAGAGATATGGCTTCTAATACAGATTTTACAGTATAACCTACTAGTGTTTATAATATAACTATAAATTTTTCATATTACTGGGGTTCAATTCATAGACATAACAGTGATATCATTGGTCTGAAATGGTCTATCCCAGAGATATGGTTGCATGTGACCATAAAACTGGGACCTTAAATTTTCACCACCATGTGTCTGTGCATTTGTTCTTCTGCACCTGTATCTCAGACGTGCCTGAGCCAATCATATTTCATATTTCATGCCATGGACGTATTAACACGTGTTAGTACATCCATGTTCATACATACTTGTACATCATACATCTTAGGATACATATTAACTTTATGTTCTAATATGTCAATCACATCCCCAAAATAACACATGTGACAAGCAACTGAATTTCCATTGTCATTTATATACAGGATATTCATTTGATTTTAGCAGTCAGACTGGAGTTACCGTAGTCTATGCTACAGCAGCCATGTAAACTCAAGGGAGATTCTTCTGCGGAGACAGTCCTGATTATTATTCTTAATTAATTTCAGATGGAAATCACGAATGATATCCAGTTTTTGCTGCCAATCATGGTTGCCATTGTTGTGTCTAAGTGGGTTGGTGATTTCTTTACTCATCCAATCTACCATGCGTTATTGGAATTTAAATGTATTCCGTTTCTGGACCATGAACCTATCATTTATGATGAACACAATAAAGCGTAAGTATAATCAATCTATCATGCATGAGTTTGACACATTTTGTATTGAAATTATAACCGATTTTCATATTCTTGCATTCTGGTACTTTTTTTAATGAATTTCAGCGTTAATCTAGAGCTGCATTATGCCCGTGATGCGATGGTATCGCCTGTATTGGTGCTACACACGAGGGAAACTGTACACAAACTTGCAAGTCTCCTTCGTGATACGAAACATGGTGGATTTCCTATTGTTAAAAGTGATGAGAACGGAGATAGGCGATTTTTAGGTCTGATTACAAGAACAGAATTATGTGTTTTGTTAAAACAAGAAGATTTATTTGAAGCAGTGGAGGAACCGAGCGACGATGCTCCTGAACTCACGCCATTAGAATACCAAGAGGTATTGTAGATTTCATGAAATGAATTGATGTTTGACCAGATATAGTGATATTAAATATGATTCTCATTGTTTTATTTCTTATTTATTCTGTAAATTGAAATATTTTCATGATGACAATGTTGTCCAATTCCTAGTCAGGTGAGTTGATGAAAATATTAGTGCAGAAATTTATATGTAGAAAATGTCCAGATGTCCTTACCCAAATAGTACAGCAGTATTAATGTGTCAGTTTCAGATTGGAAACAAAGCACAACTAATCAAAAGATAAAATTTTCTAAATTCAAACACCTCAGATATGAGGGCACACTTCACTTACTGAGATAGTTTTGATGTATATATTCAAACTATTCCACTATAAAAACTATCACTTTTCAACTGAAGTTTCTACCTGAATTCCAACTTGTCCCTCTGCTTATTTTGAGACACAAAAAAGAATACAACTTTGGCTTGGCCTGAAACTAACACACATATAAAATAAAATAGAGTGGTGCATTGCATTGCTGATATGTGTTTGTAGCTTTTTCCATCAGTCGTATGAATTACTAAAAATATGTTTTTTGTTTACTATTTCTTTATGTGACTTGTGAAGTGATTTAACTGTGATAAACTACTTGTGTTTTTCTAATTGATTGAATTTTTTATGTCTTCTCAGCTGATTGTTGACAAAATACCAATTGGTATGGAGGATGTCTTAGATGAGTTGTGTAATAATGAACAAAATCAAAATCTGTATCTTAACCTGGTATGTCTGTTTTTTTTATTGTTATTCCAGCGAAGATAAACAAAAATAAAAGTTATAATGATTTTTAACCAACCAGTTTTCAAAAAAGAATGAATGTTACAGTTGTTCACCACTATTTACTTATATTGAACAAAACGTTATCATGTTTATCATCTCTTTACAACAAGCGGTGAAAAAAGTTTCATGAATTTTGAATTTTTAGATGTTACAAAATAATTTTACCATAGAAACTAAAGCGAAAATGCAAACTGTGCCATTTTTCATGACATTTCTCGTGAAAAATTGTCTAATGATCTCAATTTTTTTTTTTTCATTTTGGCGTTAAGTCATATTATTATTTTGGCTACAATGTAACTCTTTATTTATTCATGTTATAAGGAAAATGTGAATTCTAAATATAGAATTATTACGCGCATAATAAAAACAAACATGGCTGCAACCAGGGTTTGACCGGACTCCACACAAAGAAGTTTGCTGATTCTATTCTAAACTTTTTGCATTTTGGCATTCCCATGGTGTATCTTTGGAAGGAAAATATATATAACTATGAGGTTATTACAAGGATACTGCAAAATATGCACTCAGACAGTACGCAGTCGCATCAACCTCCATTATGTATCGGTCGATACTCCTGCTGTACTGTCTTTGTGCATACTTTGCAGTATCCTCGTAGTTAACTTGTTAACAAAAGCATGAAAAAGATGACAATCTTCAACTCAAACCTCCTAAAGTCTTGAATATTAATCAAGTAGTTTTTATTTCTATTTACAGGCACCTTACTACAACCAATCAGCCTCATGCGTCCATGAGAACTTTTCGCTTCATCGAACGTACATTATTTATCGAACAATGGGACTACGTCACCTCACAGTTGTAGACCGGCATAATCAAGTTGTTGGTTTTTTGACACGTAAGGACTTGATGGGTTTTCAATTGGAAGAGACAATGGCAAGATTAGATTTACAAAACCAAGATATGGGGGCTGCGAACGTTGAGCTCTCATCAATGGATGCCTGAAGACTGAACTATTGGTTAGGGAGTCCTCTAGTGTCTACAAAACTAATTACTTTGTTTTTAGTCAAATCTCTTACTTTGTTTTTAAGTTCATTTTATTGAGATTTCTCAATTGTGTAAGGGACTTTCTGGTCTTCTTTAATATTACAAATTCACAAAACCAAGATACGGTAGCTGTAAACGTTGAGCTCTCATGAATGGATGCCTGAAAACTGAACTATTGGTTAGAGAGTCCTCTAGTGTCTACATAACAAATTACTTTGTTTTTAGTTAAATCTTTTATTTTGTTTCGAGGATATTTTATTTTATTGAGATTTTTCTCTGGTAAAGTATAAGACTTTCTGTTCTGCTTTAAAACACACTAGAAAACTAAATTACTTAATGACATGTTATTGATATTTTAAAAAGTTTTTTTTTTTTTTTTAGTTATTAAAGACTATAGCATGTATAGTCACATGCAATAATGTGTTTCTGTTAATTCCATCATTTCTGGATAATGAAATTATTCAAATACATCACAATTTCAAAGGCTTTTACTGATAGGTTAGATAAAGACCTTGATTCCAGGTATACATAACATTTTTCTTGACTGACTACTGTTTCTAAAGCACCAGTACTCAGGATGTACTTCCTGCACCTAGTATTTCAAATAAAGAATTATATTTATCATGCAAAAGGTCAATGGTATTTATATATTAGTAGTTGTATAAATGAAATGGACAATTTAACCATGTGAATTATTTTCTTTGTAAAAATGAACAACAGTTCAATTAGAGCACTGTTGTGTTGAGTTTCTCTGGTGTTAGGAATATGAATTAAGTTTCAATTGCTAAAGCACAGTATTGTAAGGTAATACTATACCTCTAAAGAGGGACTGTAGTAATACCTAGCAACTCATTATAATGTTGCCAGCGCTCTAAACCAATTGTATGCTTTACACATAAAGTTTTATTATGTCAATTTTTATGTCAACACAAATTACATTACTCAAACCACACAGTAAAAATATCCACTATATGCAAATATAAAAAGCATTTTTTTGTACCACCTTCCCTTCACCTCTAACCCTCACCCTCCCAATTCAATAGTATATGCCCTGTAGATAACTATAGATGTTCTTAGGAGGGGCATATACAATTAAATTGAGGAGCGCTAGATGGTAGTGGTATGGCTAGGATTAGTGGTGGGTGAGGATTTTCCAAGAGGAACTTTTTAGCTTCGCTGTCAACTTTGTCTTCAATTTTCTAATTTTGGTGAATATTTTTGTAGTATTTGATAAAAAGTGATATCTTCGACTTCTTGTTAAAAACCACAAGTTCGATTGCTTTGATATTACATATATAGGTACTACATGTGGACCTCTCTCAGATTTGTTCATTTCAGGATGATATCTTCAATTCTCTAATTTTGGTGAATATTTTTGTCATTTTTGGTAGAAAGTGATATTTTTGACTTCTTGTTGAAAACAGCAAGGTTGATTGCTTTGATACTATACATATTGTTCATTTTCTAATGATATCTTCAGTTTTTATTAATTGACATGTGCATTGCTAACAGTGGAGCTATCTCAGTCGACAGGCTGCTTGTTCTGTAAATATCTTAATTCCAAATTGATAAAGTACAAAAGAAATCAATATGGTGGCAACATTGATTTATGTAAATTATCTGATTTGCAACTCCCTCACTGAATAGCTTGTTCACTCAACTTACTTCACCCAAAACTGTATGAAAATAAATTTATACAGCGACAAATCTGACTTGAATTTGTGAAAAATATATCAAAATATGGTGCAAATATGACATATGCTTCCCTGTCTATAAATAACCAATGTAATAGTAATGCATTAACATCCCGGTAAGAGTTCAATGTTGCTGTTGTTCATTGTCAGATTTTACGAAGGATGACAGAGTCAACGTTGTTGATATAAACTATTTATGGAAATGCAGCTTTTGCATTTAAATACAGATTTGATACTTGTTTACCATATATATTGTTCTCTGAGTATTTACAAGAATATATCTGTAAAGATAAGTAAACAGGTGTGGAGGAAATACAAAAACAAGATTACAAACACTGTGATCCAGGTTGTGATGATGTGGATTCTGGAGTATTACGCTATGGGAAATAATCTCAAACTGATTTAACAGGTGAATATAAAAAAAAAAAACTCAATTTTATTCTTTACAAAAAGCATAGAAAACAATGTCTAAAAATAAATTTAAAAAAAGATAATATCACACGAAAGCCATCATCAAATCATTTTAAATTTTTATCAGACATGCTTTTCATCATGACAAATTTGTCACTAATATTTATTTTCATTATTTTGACTGTATTCACTAGGTTTCAAATTCATGGATTGTCCAGGAAGGCAAAATATTGTAATTCTACTCAATTTTATTTTAATTAGCAGATTACGTTTGCCAACAAAAATAGCGAAAATAAACCCCCGTGAAAAATTAATGACTTTACAGTACTTTTACTGATGACTGTACATCCACATATTGTTAAAAAATTGAGGAAAAAAACAAAACAAGTTCATATATCCATTTTTATCTTGATTTTACAGAAAATGAATTATCTTTATCAAAATTGACAGCCGTGGACAAAAAAACTCAGCAAGCACAAAACAAGTGCCATGGGGAGGTAAGTTTGATTGAGAAATTTGTTGCTACAACGTAACTTTTTATTTATTCATGTTGTGAAAGTATGGGAATGATTTTTTTTTTTTTTTCCCCTGTTATTTTTTTTTTTTTTTTTTATTTAAACAAAATTGTTATTAAGTATGGGAATGATGACAACTTGGAAGATACTATTAAGCCAGAGACATTTGTATGTACTCCCTACCCTCGAATTCATCACTGTCATAGCACTACACTGGCTATGAATTACTTTGTATTATTATTAACTATAACCAGTAATAAAAAAAAAATGTATTTGTATATATCAATTTGTGGCACTGGTCATGAATCAGTATTGTATGATTTTGTTTTAACTGATCTATTCTTTTAGCGAAAATAGTAAAAATAAATTTCACGTGAAAATAAAAAACTTCACAGTCGTGGAGTTTGTATGTTCTAGTAACATTCATATTGTAGTGCCCATCCATTATCTGGATTATCTCCCGTACCTATTATGTAAGCATAATCATCACCAGCTAAGCAGTTTTCAAATGCATTATCATAGCCAGACATTCCTTCACCTTGTGCAACGTATATTCCTGTAGTTGGTCCATTTGTGCTTCCGTCTGGAACCTTGAATTGGAAACTGGCATCACCTTGCTGTATGTCACTTTCAAGACCATATGATTGAATGTAGCTCAGTAGACTGGGATTAACACCATCACTTCCAGTTTTTAGTTGGCAGGTAGTTGTTACTGCAGTAATATTAACTTGTGTCATGTCTGCTCCACCACTAACTATCTCTCCCAGTGGTGGAATGTCCAACTCAGGATGACCTGTACGTAGGAGACCACTGCATTTGAATTCAATACATGCTGCCGTTTTAGTAGACACTAGAGGGTCGGGTGGTTTGGGTTTGGAACTGTCTTCACGTATACCATACTGTTGGTTGCCAACTGCAGGATGTCCTCCACCAGAACTAATTACACGGAAACGGGCATTAGTACAACTGTCAACCAGTATCTTAATAAAGCATGTTTTCTTGTTAGTTCCTTCATAAGGGTACCACGACAGGACGGATCGTTGCGCCTCATAATGATGTGGGTCTGTTATATCATAACCATCGGAATTAATTGACACTAAACCAGTAGCTGCTTCTACAAATATAAGATGTTTTTTTCACTGGTTAGAACATTACATATAAGATGAGATGAGATAAGATAAGATAAGATAAGATAAGATAAGATAAATCTTTATTACAACCTTATAGAATGAATTACATATCTATTTTGGTTTATAAAATGTAATAAAGGTATATATAGATGCATAACACTTTCAGTTGGATGGAATAACACCATAATTATCAAAATACTCGTAAATCATTCAATGTCACTACTCGGTCCAGTATTATAATGTTTTCAAGCGTACAAATGTATCTGACAATATGTATTTACCAAGCTGTGGAGACATTGACATTGATGTTTGCAAAGAACTCTAAAGAATAAACAAGCATTTCAAAGACATCAAGACCCAGAATCCCTTGCTGGCGCCAAGTTTATTTCGTGGCCCTTGTGTTATTTCTGTCAATTGATCATTAAGTTAGACTCAATTTCATCTACATTTTTTGTTTCAAATGTGTTATATGATTATTTATCTCACACATAATGTTTGAAGATTTTTTTCAATACATAATTTTTTTTTTAGAAAAAGTCCCTAAAAGCTTAGTGATTTGACCAAAAAAACATAATTCTACAAAGCTTTATGCAACCAGTGCAAAATGAATTATGGTAGTTATTTAAAAAATATCAATTTTGATTTTCATTGATCCTCCCACAATCCAATGCGCAAGTATGAGGTTTGACCTGGGCGCGACTTGCACTAATTATCGCTGGTGACTTCTTCAATACCTTCCAATCACCTAAAAATACCTAATTAAAGCTTGGTAACGTCTCAATTTGTATTTGTTGATCTACGCAACAGTCGACATCTTTGTTTACACAAGACCCATATATCTCGCGCATGCGTGGTGCGACGACCATGGCCCTTTAATAGTTGACTTCAAATGAAAATAAATGATAGTAATGTTAGAATGACAACATTACCAGGACAGTTGCATTCCCCACATGATGAGATCTGCTCACGGTGACCTTGATAAGTTTCACTTGAGTTAGTAGTATATCGCACACGGGTCCCTCCTCCACATGTAACGTCACAAGATGACCATGCTCCCCAAGTTTCTCCTAGAAAAACATACAGACAACTCACTACATATACTTTATATGGTTTACCCCCAATGCAATTCACTGGCTGTGAAGACTGTCGCTTATACTAATAATTTATATTATATCGATAATAACTAACCTGGATCCAACTTACCCAATTTCTCGTTCAATTGATTAATATCTTCTGTGAGATTGTGTATTTTGTCACTCATTGTGGCTATCTGTTCATTTTGTTGATCAATCTTGTAACTTAACTGCATTATGATATCTGTCAGCGCCGGTTGGTTGTCTTTGCCGTTACAGTTTTCCTCGTCTCCACAGTCAGGCAGTGTTACAGTGTATTGACATCTGTTGTCTGTCTTGCAGTGATGTTGGTATGATGTCACTCCTGCTTGTCCCGAAGTACTCTGAGAGTTGACAGTCATGGTCAACGCAGCCAGGATTATAACCAAACGTATTGACATTATGACAGTCATACAGACAGACAGATACGTACCGATATGTACTGTGTGAAAGTGTACACATAAAATTGTCTGTATTTCCTTATACATTACAACACAATGCTATAATAGGTTGGCAAACAAGAGCCTACTTGTATTGAAAATACTGAAGTGTTTTCGCCTAGATGACCTCAAATAACCCAGACTGAGTTAGTCTTGTCGACAATAATGCTATACCAAAATATTTATTATTAGCTATCGCTTTCTGCCCTAGACGTAAACATGAATTAAATGCATTTTCTTTAATCATGGTGTTACATCAGGTTTATTTTATTTTTTTTTATATCAGAATATCAATGTGCAAAAGAAAGATTTAACATTTGTTGTTGCTAGGGGCAACATCTACCGGTATTCAATTCCAGCCAGATATTAATAAAATCAACTACCGGTACGTGTCAATGAAAATGAAACATAGTTTGGTTATTGAGGTGTCACTGGTCATGTCATGCATGTTGTTGGTGGTAATTCAGTTGATACCGCCCTCGTTTGATTACTTTTAATAATTGTTTTGTTTTTAAGCATCCTTTCTTGTAGTTCACATTCAGATCTGTCATGTTCTAATTCCAATTATTTCCTGAATAAGTAAGTCAAGTTAGTATTTTTCAGATGCTTTAAGTTACACTTCAAATTATTTCTTAATACATGTATTTAGATATTGTCGTATAATATTGATTATCTAAAAAAAAAAATTAAATTAAATTTGATTTTTTATTCAAATGAACTTGTTCTAAAAAAAAAAATAACTCCTTATTATTTGCTTATTTGCTTCTTCAATATTTCTGGAAATGAACCTAAATTTTGGTGCCAACAGACAAAATTTGAGTCAATTTTCAGTCTTTACCCAAAAAATTTTGATATTTTTGTTCCAATTTCTGAAGGCAAGTACAGACCATGAAAAGTATTTTGTGGAATCATTATGAAAAAAAAGGAACTAGTGGTGAAAAGGTTATACTTTTCAGCTAAATAGGTGGTCTGTGTGAAAAGAGTGTCAGGACGAGCCCAACACCCACCCCACCAACACCCTGTTAGTCGTGGTTCTCAGATAAGGATGCTAAGTGGTAAACAACCTGTATGAAACATGGATACAGAAGAACAAAACAAACTACCGGCAATTTGCACTTAATAAAGTAGCTATAATTGGTTACTGTTTTATTTATTAAGTAAATACAATGAAGATTCCGTCATTATTTTTTAAAATCAAATCTTTTTCATTATTTATGTTCATTCTTGCAGAAGTCTGTAATGTACTGCCAGCTTCAGAATTTTTCAAAATGAACATTGCCAAACCAAGCCTACTGATCCTAATTCATACTGCCCTCTGTTGAGTAGTTTTAAAACTACTTTTGTTTTTAAAAAGTCTTAGATTAATTTGATAATTTAATCAATCAGTTATTTATTTTACCTAAAAATTTACATTTGTATTTTTTTAAAAACAAAAGAATCAATTACAAATAGGTAAAATGGGAATCAGAAATAGCAGTGGGATAATCTTGTCTGATTGCTCAGTGTTTGCAGAAACAAATTAATTACACTGTCTTAGCGGGCAATTTTTAATAATATTAAGATAAAAAGATGTTGATAAATAATTAAATTATGTCTTTACATTTTAATTTCTTAAATGAACTACGGATTGTAATGTACTCTGGGAAAAAAATAAAAGATCTATTTCTGTGATTGCATACAACACAGATACTTGTGTATTTATGTTGAACCAGAAAGTGCTCTCTAGTGGCAATTTTAAGTATTCTTTCGTTTTTATTGTTTTGCCATTGAAGAACACATATTCAATAACTATTTTCTGTTTGAATGATATCAACCATTAACTAAATAGTTAATAGTTGTCTTTATGTTGGTAGTTACCACACTATGGATATTGAAACAGATAAGTTTATGGCTGAAATTACTAGTAGCTTTTTGTTATATTTTACACAGTAATATCGGTAAGATGGTTATAAATCACATGAACAAACGGAATGCTGGTTTTTTTTTAAATGGTATTTGTAGTAAATAAAATTTCAATTTTTTCATTTTACCCCAAATTCTGCAAGTCAGTGACACTCATTTTATTGAATATTATACTGAGACGTGCACTCTCGGAAATTTTCACACCATCAAGTCATGAACATTTCCTTGCTGAGAAAATTTCCTGTATGATATACTTAAATTATATCTATTACTAGTGTTTTTAATAACCAGTCGATTTCTAGTGCTTACACTGAACCATTGCTAGTGCTTTCACTGAACCATTTCTAGTGCTTTCACTGAACCATTGCTAGTGCTTTCACTGAACCATTGCTAGTGCTTTCACTGAACCATTGCTAGTGCTTTCACTGAACCATTTCTAGTGCTTTCACTGAACCATTTCTAGTGCTTTCACTGAACCATTTCTAGTGCTTACACTGAACCATATCTAGTGCTTTCACTGAACCATTTCTAGTGCTTTCACTGAACCATTTCTAGTGCTTTCACTGAACCATTGCTAGTGCTTTCACTGAACCATTTCTAGTGCTTTCACTGAACCATTGCTAGTGCTTTCACTGAACCATTTCTAGTGCTTTCACTGAACCATTTCTAGTGCTTTCACTGAACCATTTCTAGTGCTTTCACTGAACCATATCTAGTGCTTTCACTGAACCATATCTAGTGCTTTCACTGAACCATATCTAGTGCTTTCACTGAACCATTTCTAGTGCTTTCACTGAACCATTTCTAGTGCTTTCACTGAACCATTTCTAGTGCTTACACTGAACCATATCTAGTGCTTACACTGAACCATATCTAGTGCTTTCACTGAATCATTTCTAGTGCTTTCACTGAACCATTTCTAGTGCTTTCACTGAACCATTTCTAGTGCTTACACTGAACCATATCTAGTGCTTTCACTGAACCATTTCTAGTGCTTTCACTGAACCATTTCTAGTGCTTTCACTGAACCATTTCTAGTGCTTTCACTGAACCATTTCTAGTGCTTGCTTTCACTGAACCATTTCTAGTGCTTGCTTTCACTGAACCATTTCTAGTGCTTTCACTGATTCATTTCTAATGCTTTCACTGAACCATTTCTAGTGCTTTCACTGAACCACATCTAGTGCTTTCACTGATCATTGAATTTTTAATGTTTTTACTGACCACTAGACAATTTCTAGTGCTTTCACTGAACCATTACTAGTGTTTTCACTAATCAATGGATTTTTAATGTTTTTAACGGACCACTGGACATTTTCTAGTGCTTTCATTGTCTACTGGGCTGTATGTTCAACATTCACATCAATTCTTGATTTTGTTAAAAAATGTTGTTATAATATCTGATGCATGAATCTCATACATCTGTTTTTTCACTCATTTTTAGGAGATAATTATCTTAATAAAACAAAAATCCCAGCAAGTGTCAAGCAAGGAACATTTAGAGTTTGAGATACCAAATTTTATCTACAGCGTATCTTTCTATTTATCAATATCTCTCCTCACCTCCCCTCGCCTCCTCCTCCCCCTGTGTTGTGGAAGTATGGAACCGATGACAAGTTGGAAGATACTGTTAAGTCAGAGACATGTGTACCAAAGGTGACAGGTATAGAAAAAAGTTATTGCTATGTTGTCTGAATAGCCCCATTGATAGCGCTGCCCCCCTTTTGATACTGCATAATGGTATTCCGGAAGTTACCCCTATTATGCGGACCAAGTCACTGAACTGAAGTCATACACTAGTAGAGTAAACATCCCTATTAGTGGCCCATATGATCTGTAGGTAGGTAATTACTTTTCATCTCCTCTCTGTCCACACCCTGTTTACAGTTTACAGTCTGTGTGTCCGCTTGTTGACAGTTTACGTTGAGAAACTCTCAATAGCGCCCTCAAGTAGCACAATATACTGATTAAATGGAAAAACCACGATTGTTTTACAATATAAATTTTAGTTCCGACCCTCCTTGTCACCTCTAACTCTCTGCATCAGAATATTGATTTTTCGATCTTGTGCACTTCTAAAGTGAAATTTATTTTTTTCTGAATTTCCTGAAATTATTTTTCTAGCACTTGGTTAATTTTGGGTTTTTATTTTCATTTCATGATGGATTGCTGAACGGCATGTTTGTTATTATAGATGGATTCACTGTCTAAAGTGCAGTTGTTGTTAGCCTCGGGCATTTGCTAACCACAGGTATTCTTTTCATTGATAATGGAGCACGGAAATTACACCAATTTTCTGTCATTTTTCTGGAAAATTAAAATTGTGATTTTTTTTTTTTTTTTTTACTGTTCATATGCATTTTCTACCTGGTGGGAAAACTGCCTTTTTTTTGCAAGCTGTTGCATTTAATAAGTCACTGCTAAGGTTCGTATCGAATAAATGCTTTATTGTGAAATTCTATCCCTAGTTTTTTTGAATGAGTTCAAGTTTAGGTGATTTACAACCTTGTTTATTTCATTTGTAGTTGAATTACAGTGTTGAAACTGGACATGTTGTGATTGTGTTTTCTTCAATTGTCTGTATTTCTTTGACTTTCGTTTTGAATTAAAAGATTTAGCGTTAATCTCTCTTTGTCATTGTATTTCAATAGAGTTTCTGCCTTTAGATCACTCTGTAAGTATAATTTTTCTTTTCGTTCCATGTTTTTAAAGATTTTTATTCAATACCATTGCAGGACCCATGATGAGTAAGTAATTATGAAAACTCTTTGAATTAGGATATTTTCTGAATGAATATAGCCTTCTCAAATTATAGGTTTATTTTTCTGAATGTGTTCCAACCTAACCGCTTAAGTGCTGAAGTCAACTTTTGTCACCAGAAAATTTTAAACCCACTTAAACATTTTTTTCATAATTTTTCTAAGACTGTTAGCAATTAGAAAAAAAAAATCCATTTGGATCAAAATAAATATTGAAAAATACATAAAAATTATAATTACTATAATTATAGTTCTTCAACA